GGGAAGAAGGGGCGGAATTTCCTTTCTGGGAGATGGCGTAGTTCCTGTAATTTCTCATTCAAACTGATGCCGATTGCAAACCTTAGTTTAAATCGGTAACAGAAACTATTTTTTATTGCTGGGTGTTTTTATATCGAAATGCGCAGAAACACGAAGCAAAACGGCGTTGGAATCCGCCGCTTTCAGGATACTTTGCTTTTTCCCAATGACCTCAGACAAGTTAAAAGCGATCCAAAGATGAACATGTCAGAAACAAAGGTCCAAACCATAGTTAAAAAAAAGGAAATAGAAAATTCAAATTAAGCATGCCTGTAAAATGTATGCTTACCTAGGAAGCATCGCTTTTCGAAAGCTACTAACTATGTCATATGAATTGTTCAAACAAATTTCAAATTACGTTTGGTACACTTTTTTAGTATTGAAAAGGTAGTCTTCCTATGTTTAGGCTCCCATTGTGGAAAACATGCCTTTCTCCTCTTCCGGGTCTGTATAGATTTAAACTGGCTTGACTCAAAAACAAGGAACATCATGCCTGTCAAAATCATGTTTTGTTTTCAGCACAAGGTTTGTGATTTGGTTACATTGCACTGACTGAGCGATTTCAGAGAAGAGCCTCGATTTAATTTGGCGTAGTTATGCAAGTTTCTCAATTTAATTGCTTTGCTCACCTTTCAAACATGGCAGAACAAACTCTCAGCATCGATCAACAGTACATTTACATGCAGGTTTAACATGACCACATACTGTGTGCCATCGATATCACATAAATACTATCGATGGATTAGAAAAAACAGAATACAAATTGTTTTGGAAACGTAACCAGATATAAAAGCTGTAAAGACTCACGTTAGCTACATAAATTTATTTACAATGGGCTAAGAGCAGGCGAAGTTATCGTTGGTTTTTTATTTTCCCTTTGGCCGGGTGCACTTTAATATGGGCGTGTTTGTCATTTTCTCAATCATATGGTAAATAAATAATCGCATGAACGCTAGAGCAATTAAGGATTTACACTATACCCGTGATATTTGAAAAAAATTCAAATTGCACTTGCCTATAGCTTGAGGCTAGTGCAATTTTGCCCGAAATTGGAGACATGTCAAATATCATTTGAAGTGTAAATAATCAGTTACACTTACGAGGATTCGACCACTTATTTTAAAACAATAAGACAACCATGTTGAGGTTGAGATACATTTATCTTATGTTTCAATATCTTCTAGGGCTGCCCCAGGGTTTTTTAATCACTCTTTGTCTCCATTGAACATCGTTAAACAAGACAAAATTGTGTTTGTAATCGCGTTTTGACCTTAACAAAATTGTTCTGATTCCTTTCATGAATTATATTCCAGAAAGAGCGTAGTCGGACAAGAACTAATATCTCATTTCTATAGATATAAGTTATGGATATAACTTATCGTTACTTGAGTTTCACGAAGGAATAGGGACTGAGAAAATTAAGACTCCTCCGGCCTTATCGCTACGCTCCCGGACTCGCTCTTAACCCCTCGCGCGTGGGACTCAAAAGCTAAGTTACCCTACACGCAGGCTGTTTTTGCCTGTTTTCAATAAAATCCTTTTATTTTTTCTATTGTCTTCTTTACACCATCATTTGTCATTTGCCTCTAGGTCTCCCATTTAAGCTTCCGTGTTTAGGCTCTGCTCCCCCAAATCGTACAATAGAGAAAACACACGATGTGCAGCTTTGTAGAGAAAGCATAGAGTTGTTCTTTAAACATGTTTTGATTTCTTTTGTTATGGTTCTGTCCAATATAATTTTCAGTTAGATAAAATTAAACTATACAGCTCCAGTTCTGAGACTCTTTGTTAGCGCGAGTGGGCATTTGAAACGTTTTCGCGGTATTTATTTAAAAACATGTAATAGGATTTTATGCGCAAACATGATCAAGACCGTGCGACGCAATCATGTAAATTATTATTACTGTCCGTTTTTCCGAAGAGATATTCGAAAAAGCAAACTTTATTTACGCACTCGCTGTCAAGCTTTTGATGTTTTCAACATATCATTATTATTTTTTGCGAATTTCACAATTGTATGAAAGCAAAAATGAACTACAGATTGAAAGCGTTTGTTCTTGGTACCATTTAATTTAATTTGCTTGCAACCAAAACAACTTCAGTTATAATTGATCCAAGATTTGAAACATGGAGATATCTGTGATTTTATTGGTCAATCACCCTTGAAGACAGGTGCTATTCATAATATTGTATGCCCAACTGACTTGCTTGAAAACTCTTGAGTTCAATTTTGCTACATGTAAACAACTTTGAAATAATACTTAAAAAACAAAGGCACCTCGTGTGTTGTGGGCCGAGAAACCAATCAACAAAATTAAGGTGATAAGAAAAGCTCAATAGCGCAAAGATGTAAATTACTGACTCTACTTGTATCAACTGCACTACGCGCGCAACACACAGGTTTAAAGTACAGCTACAGTCTATAACCGGACAGTTATGGTCATGTCAGAAATTAACAGAACCAACTTAAGTCTTCCCAACTGCTTCTATCTGGACCTACGCTTGGAACAAACCAACGATACCTTTATCGCAACTGTTGTAACATGTATTCTTAATGCTGTGTTTTCTTTGATAACGGCTATTGGAAATTTAGTTATATTGCAAGTTGTCTGGAGAAAACAAGAACTTCATACGCCATCTTTCACCCTTTTATTTTGCCTTGCAGCCTCGGATCTCCTCGTTGGACTAGTCTGTCAGCCATTTTACGTGGCTCATAAGATAACTGAACTTACAGAAAACTTTGGCGCCTATTGTATCTTAAGAGTGATTCAGAGCATATCTGGCTGGACAACAACTGGCTCATCTTTTTCAATTTTAAGTGCAGTCTCTATTGATCGACTTCTCGTTTTAACCCTTCATTTGCGATACAACACCATTGTAACCGTTAAAAGAATATTGCAAACTGTTTTTGTTGTATGGATGTTATGTGTGACAGTCGTCATGCTAAGATTTTAGATTCGCCAGTGGCTTATTTTTCCGGTGGCGATCGTCGCTACAAGTTTTCTTGTCACACTCATGAGCACCTTAAAAATCTTTCAAATCGTTCGCAGACATCAGCGCCAGATATCTCAGCAGCATCAGAATGTTCAAAGTAACACTGTAGATGTGCTCAAATGTAGAAAATCAGCTGTGACTGTTCTTTACGTTTATGGTTTGTTCGTCATATTCTATCTACCGTTGTGTGCTACAATGGTCGTAGAAACATTAACTGGATACACGTTAAGAGTTAATGTGGCTTATGACTACGCAGCAACTGCCGTTTTTATTAACTCCTTCTTAAATCCCCTTGTATATTGCATGCGAATAGGAGAAATACGCCGAGCTGTGAAGAATTTACTTAAGAGAAACTGAAACTGACTCAAGAGAAATTCTTAGAGTCTCTTTGACAATTGGTTGTTGTTTTGCTTTTGAAATGATGGTGATAGAGCGACAAGTAAGTGAAACAAGATCGGTATAATTGCAAATAATTATGTGTCCCCAGATATTGACATCAGGGCGGCACAGCACTTACATTCTTGAGGTATGGTAATATATTTTGTTTAATTTCAAGCGAGATCTATATCGGCTTTATTACCTCGTCTTGTAGGTTTGCAAATACGGTTTTAGTGATGCGTATTTAGCAAAATTATATGAAAAATTACGCCCAGTCCATAGTCAAGCTGCCATTTCACCTTTAGAAGGTTCCTCAATCCCGAGCAGTTCTATGAGATCTGTTGTAAACATTTACTACTGAGTTTAGTCGTTCACGAGCGCTCGGACTGGAAAGGGGACTACGTCAATGCACGACACATCTAGAATTATTACACGTAAATGTCTTTCGATCGATATTTTTCGAAGATCGTCGTTTATAACCTGTCTACATCTTCCTTGCTTGCTTTTTAGTTTTACTCATAATAACGGAGCCCCTGCGCGCCGAAGGTGCACCAGCTGAGCCCCACACCTTAGAAAATTTGGTAACCCAACGCTCTTAAAAAATGTGGTTGTCACGTGACTGTCCGTACATACGTCCGTTCGTACGTCAATAAGTCCGTACGTCCACACGCCAAGCCCAATACCTTGAAAATTAAGAGAGTAACTCCGTTACCATAGGTACGTCTTTGATATTGGACATTTATGTTATAGTTAATTGACAGCTATCAAAACAAGGCATCCACTGACCAGTATCACGTGACTATATCGCGGGCTCAGGTTATGTATGCTGCAAAGACTGGAAGCATGCCCTTTTGGAGCAATGTATTGTCGTGTGACGATATCACCGAGGCGACCCATTTATTAAATGACACCCTTGTAGGGATATCCAATGAATGCCTCCCCCTGATCAAGGTTAAGGTGTCTTCATGGGACCCCCCTTGTATGTCGCCAATAGTTAAACACCTGTGTACCATCAGGAATAAGAATGCTGACCTACAAGCAAGGATCTATGAGCTTATCCTCAACAACCAAGTGCGGGCTGTACGCAATGTAAACAGCAAACATGGAACTGGGACGAAGGGTTGGTGGAATACTGTAAACAAAATTGTTACAAGAGGGTCTAAGGCACAAAA